CTTTTTTTTTTTTGGATTTTAAGTTTTAAAATATTTAAAATATAATAAATTTATTTAAAGCTACATGGATGTATATTATTGGATGTGTGGGCTCCACACAAGTGCCACATCAGCTACTTAACAGAAAATTTGACGGAAGCTAACGGCAGGGACCATTTTGATGTGTGAAGGGTAACCTTAAGGACCATTAATGTAACAAAAAAACGTTATGGACGAAATGCGATAATTTTGCAAACCTAAGGGACCATTTGTGATAAAAAAAAAAACCTTATAACAATGCAAGAATGAGCATAAAATAATACCCCATCTAATAAAACTGAAATCACAATCATATAACTCACCACCACAATAAGAAATGTTGCTTTAAGATTTCCACAGGCTGCACAGCAAGATCTACTCAACAAGAAATCATCTGTCAATAAATAAATATAGTTGAACTTTCCATGTGCAATTGAGCAAACCAAACCACTAACTAATACTCTTTCTTTTTTATCTTTCAAAACGTTTTTGGCTCCCTTATTTCATTTGGTCAGTATTGGAAACTTACTTTGTCTCTGTCCCTGAAACTTTTAGGCTCCCTTATTTGGTCAGTATTTCAAAACGTTTTTGGCTCCCTTCTTCTTATCTTTTTTATCTCGTTTTGACTATAAACCAAACCACACCTAAATGAAGTTTTAATTTTCTATGCAGATTTGCCCTCCCACAGAGTATGTTGATGCTCTTTTTGGGAGGTCAACTTAGATAGGAAAGTATAGGATCTTCAGCAAGGAAGATGGCTAGGACCTTCGATAGCTGAGTACCCTGTAGAAGACAAAGTGGAAGAAGCAATCGTTAAACTTCGGACACCGGTATGGTGCCCGCCGAAGGCTCTTCGATGCTTAAGTCAGCTAAGAATGGTAATTTTGGCAAAGTAACTGTAAAGGTAAGAAATTAGTTACCCCTTTCATCTTGGGTACTGTTCTCTATTTATAGGGAGGTGAAAATGGGAGGCTTGTATAAAGTTCCGATGTGGGACTTTGTGCCAGTCGTTGTGAAGGTGACACGTGTCCTTAGAGACTAGGTTCGGCAGTCAGGAGCTTCGGTAGGTGTTGGTTGTCTTGGAAGAGTGTCTTCCTTTGGCAGGGAAGAATGCGTGTTTGCCTTGGTGCTAGTCGCTTTGGTGCTAGATATGCTCGGTTGATTATGGTGTAAACAGAGTATATATAGCAGCTTACGTAATAAAATACAAACAAAAAGAAAAGAAAACAGCTCATACGATATCAAGGAATGATAGTCAAAACCCATAGAAAAAGTACCAGAGAAGAGATTGACAAGGAGGATGAGATCATAGTCAAAACGTTTCCCACTCTGTCTGTCTCTGTCTCTGAGTTTCTGATTTTTCTGTGAAATAGATCAAGCCCAACTGAGCAATGGGTTAGAGACAGAGAACTAATAAGAACATAAACACAAGGGGAAATGAATTTATTCATACCTTAGATCGATCGATCTTTCAACCCCTGCTTCACTATGTGAAATGAATCCTCTTCTAACAGATATCAAATTATGAACAAACTAATTAATTGATAGAGGGATTGGGAGAGAGAGAAGGCAGATTGTTGTAGTGCGGCTAGATTAAAAATGAAAGATAGTAAAATGCTTTTGTACAGAGGTGGTTATAGGATTCGGCTTCTCCCTCAGAGCATTTCCACCCATTTGCCATGGTAAAGGGCAAGGGCTGTTACTATTCATGTGAATAGTGGCAGCAAATGAAGAATATGACTAAGTATTTATTTAAAGAAATTCTGAAATTCTTAGTATTTTTTTAGATTTTTTCTTCTTTTTTTTTTTTCATTGCTGACGTCATCGTTGATGTCAGCAAACCCAGGCAACAGCCCAAGCTGTTCTTGCCATTGGGTTGGCCTGGTTTGTTGGGACCCATGCGCTGTCCAGGCTGTAGAAGCCCGCTGAAACATCAAACTGGGGCTTGGGCCCCCTGTTGCTCTGGCTGGAGGGCACTACTGGAAGTGCTCTTATTGGGCTTGGTTGTTCCCAAAAAATCCCAAGCAAACTAACCAACCTAACATGATAAGTTAAATATATGTAGTGGTTTGAAGCAATTGCTTAGAATCCTAACATCCATATAATGTGTGTAAGTTTAGTATATTATCGTCCATCTCAATAAGAAAGGTCTTCAATATATATATATATATATATATATATGGCCGAGCCGGGTTGGGCTCTCTTAGGCTCAAACGAACTTGGCCTATAGATCGTGCCAAGCTTCAAACCCCTAGTTTAGGCCCAGCCCACTGAATAATATATCGTGTCGGTCCATAACGGGCCACACCGAACTTTTCCTCATTTAGCTGGGCAAGCCCCCATCGGCTAGTGGGCTCGGGGACCAAATGATGACCCCTAGGCTATAGTTGCATGACTACAACCATACAACATAACCAATCTACCGCAAGCCAAATAAAGAGCAAACGCAAGAAAAGATTTCGTACGGCGTGTTAAGAATGGAGTTCAATTCTCTTGTTACTATTTTTCTTGTGTCCACCATGTCACCTATCTAATTTGTTGACACGTGTCCTTCCACTTAACCCTAAGTTAATAGTCTATGTTGCACGGACACGAACACGGGGACACGAAAATGTGACATAGCGACACAAAATCTCAAAAAATTAGGACATGGACACGACTAGGACACGTCAATTAAAATAATAATAAATCATAATAAAATTATAATACTATATACTTATATTACAAAAATAATTCATACTCAATACTTTAATGTCATAATACAATAAAACAAACACAAGGTACTCATATTCATCATTTATACATAATAATTAATGCACCACAAAATATGATTGCATGCATGAGAGGAGGCCTTATTTGAATTAGCATTACTCATTTTTCCCTAAACAAAATAAAGCACTATACACATATTTATTCACACATAAAACGATTTCCCACCTCATAAAATAAGAATCAGCTTAGCATAAAAAAAAGAACAAAAAGAAACAAAGTGAATGAATTACCCACTCAAAAAATATGCTTCTCTCACGACCAAATTGTTATTAATATCTTTATTCAACCAAAAATATCAGCTCTCCTACAAAGGAACAAAGACAAAAAAAAAAAAAACATGTTTAAACAAAACTTAGAAGAAAAAAAATATTAAACCCTCACCTACAATAGTTCGTATGCATTTACTGAGGTTTCAACTTTAAGTAATTTAAAATAGGGATATGATTTCCCCACTCCTCTTTTCTCCACTTACACTCCTTTTTGCTTTTTAATGCTTTCAAATCAATTTTATTCTTTCTCTTTCCTATTATGCCCTTACCCTACATTAATTTCTTTTTACTTCACTTTTATATTAGTTCTTTTTCTTTATACTTAATTTTCCAACTTGCACTTCATTTTCAATATTTTTTTTTCCTTTAATCGAGTAAGAAATAAAGTTTTTTTTTCTCTCTTTAATACTGAAAATGGAGTGTAAGTTGGAAAATTAAGTATAAAGAAAAAGAAATAATATAAAAGTGAAGTAAAAAAAGAAATTAATGTAGGGTAAGGATAGAATAGGAAAGAGAAAGAACAAAATTGATTAAAAAGTATTAAAAAGCAAAAGGGAGTGTAAGTGGAGAAAAGGGGAGTGGGGAAATTAGCTCCCTTAAAATAAGATGAGAAGAAAGAATATGTGGAGAAGGAGAGAAGAAAAGCTGGGTTTTTTTTCTTCATGAAAGGCGGCTGGCTAGGAGAGAAGAAAAACCCACTTTTAAAAACTATTTTAATATGCCCACAACTATTTCAATAATTATGTTGTGACCCCAGTTTTTGTTTTAAAATTTCCAAATTTCCAAAAGGGTCCCTGTCGTGTCTTGATTTTAATTGACCGTGTCCAAAACATGTCTTGACTGTTGACCCATGTCCAAGCCGTGTCCGAGACGTGTCCATGTGTCCGCGTGTCAGACACTTTGACACTTCAGCCTGATGGAGTGTCCGTGCTACATAGTTAACAGTGTTAGTTTTTAATTAAATAAAAAAACTAATAATTGAAGAAAAATAAAAAGATATAGCAGCCACCAGAACTCCTCCACCCACCCAATCCCATCAGCCACCAAAACTCCACCCAGCCACCCACCCAATAGGCGACAACCCCCTCTCCTTGGTGCTGGCAAAGCCTTTCTCTCTCTATCTGCTTTTTTCTACATTTGTGCCCCGTTATATATCTTGATTTCTTTGCCTATTGATCCCTCTCTTTCAAAGAAGCCAGAAGTGCACGTTTTAATCTTGTGTGGATCCATATAAAACAATATGCAAAACTGATAGGTCTTGTTTGTGGTTTAGTCAGTGCTTAAACTTTTGTTGGGTTTTGATCAGATTTCGAGGGGTGTTTATTTTCAATAAGATGAAGAATGAGCTAGGTTATTGTTTGTGCATTTACTCAGATTTGGATCGAAAACCAAGGGGTAGAAAGAGAGCGATTGAAAAGGGAAAACAGAGAGGAGGCTTTTCCAACAGCGAGGAGAGAGGGGTTGCACCGGCGGAATTGGGTAGGTGGGAGAGCTCTTGTGGTTGTTGGATCTTTCTTCAATTATTAGTTTTTTTAAAATTTAATTAAAAACTAAACTTAGGATTAAATAAAAGCACACATCAAAAAATTAGAAAGGCGACAGGCAGGGCACACGACAAATAGTAACAGGAGAATTGAACCCTTAAGAAGGTAAAATGCCACGTCTTAAAAAGCAAAGAAATAAACAGATTTTCTTTAAACAAACATAAAACCTTTCGCTTTCATTTATTTACTCTGAAAATACAGGTCATTGTTTAGAAAGCGATAGGATAACATTAATAATAGACCAGGCAGAAGATGCCATTAGGTCATATTGACACACCAATAAGCAAACCAAATGCCACAGGGGAAAGTACATAGGTTCAGAACTAAGAAAGACAGAGAAATCCACAACTGCTGCAAGTGATGATATCACACAAATGAAAGATTATATATATGACGACCTCTTAAAGAAGTCGCTCTTCAATCAACCCGCAATTTTCCTCGAATAGGTTCTGCCAGGTTGAATCTCTTGAACAGGCCTGAGATACAAGTTTCCGGATTCGCCAATCCACTGGACTCCAGCCTTCATGGGAGGGGGGCGCATCTGCTGCCCCACAGTCTGCTTGCGATAACCAATTGTCATGTTTGCCAGCTTCTCAGATGTATCTGAAACTCCACGTGAAATCCTTCCCTTGTTCACAGACGCTGCCAACCAACATAGTTTTCTCAGTTAATCACAAATGAAACAGAAAAGGAACACCTCGAGCTTAAAAAATTTACATAACCAAAAACCAAAGGACGCCACTTGTCCCTATGATTGATAAATGTCATCAGCACAGTACATGGAACACAATTGAAATCTCTGAAACATAATCCTGTTGTACCCAAGAAACTTACTAGGACTGCTTTTACCAGGGGGTCGATATTTTTGTTGCTTAGCAGAGCTCTTCAAGTATTTATCATTCTTTTTCGCATCCTTAAATGATAAAGTTGAAAAAATTATTAGTTACAGTAATAGCAATCTTTGTATGTGCATGGCATAGCACACAAACACTGAAATAAAACAGATGAAAGAATACGCATCTGCACTCACCTGATTAACCATATCCAGTTTTCGCTGCACACCTGCAATGATATTTAATCACATAATGAGAATCAATCTAGAAAATTAATGCTTCCTTAGTAATAGGAGCACTTATTAAATTACATCTTTTAAATAGAAAAAAAAAACTCAATTTTATTTCATACTCTCATTGAGGAATTGTTTTCCCAAACCATCAGTATTAGCTATTAACAAGGAAAACCCAAGAAAAAACCACCTGGCAGAGAACTCATACAGTATTTTTCAAAACAGAACATAAACTACGGATGTTTAAAAACAAAAAAAAATTGAAGCCAAAATATAAAGACTAAAACTCGACAGAACAACATTCAAACTGACCTGTGCCCATAGAAGCATGCAGCTTTGGGGAGGGAAAGTTGCTAGAAGTCTTTGAATTAGATAAAGTCCCAGATAATTTTCTAGCACATTGCTGCTCCGATGCTCCCCTTGCTCCAGCTGTGTAACAATCCACATAAATTAATATCCTAAACAAAACGAATAATTAAAAACGCAATTCAACAATTATCAGATAAACAAACCAAATGGAGGTGTCCTAGCAACAGTTGATCTGGAGCGGAGGGATGGCGGAACATAATAGCAACTCTGCCACATGAAAAGTACACCTTAGAATATGCAAAACATCTATAGATAACCATTCAAGACTGGATGTTTCACTAATTATACTTTGTTCCAAAAAACCTACCTGGAAGAAAGGATGCTGGAGGGCCTCTGCAGCTGTTGGCCTCTTGGACGGGTCCCAAGAACAAAGTGACTACAACAGAAGGAACGGGAAAACGCAAGTGTCACATCAGTGACTACTAGTTAAGACATAAAAGTTTAATGGCTTCTCTAGTTTGATCTGAGGACATGAAAAATTCCCCAGTTCCGGTAACAAGAATTTAAACTATGTGCCACAGTGGGGTGGTTGGAGGTAGGGAGGGGAAAGCAGCTACATTTAATACAAAATTGGACTTACTGTCATAAGGCTGATTGCACTATCACTTGCTGATGGAATCAGCGTAGAAAGATGAACACCCGCGAACTGCAAAAAGAAACAGATCCAACTTAATATCCACTAATCATACTGGATGACGCAGATAAAATTAAATCCCAAAAGGCATGCCCCTCAAAATCATTTATATCGAAGATCTTTCATAAATACAATACAGAAATGACAGCATTGTCTGCTACATGTAAGAATGAAGAAAGAATTCCCCAAGAGATTGCTGTAAAAGTCTACGCAACTCAACGAACACACTAAAAATGCCAGAAAGAAAGTAGGATAAAACTGACCTGAGGAAATTGGTAGTTGATATCCCTTGCAAGATGAAGCCCATCAGCCCATGAATCCTTGGTTGGGCTACCAATCACACTGCATATTTTGTATATCTCATCTGCTTCGCTGAAAACACAGTCGGAGGGGAAGCAAGGGTAAGAAGAACATTAAAAGTAAATCAACTGATATATCAGTTGCTAAATTATCAGCAGATAAACTACTAAATATCTTCAAACAAGTTACACGATTAATTAATATCAAAATGCTATCCAATAATCATAGCAATATTTCCCATTGGGCAACAAATCACTTGATGTTTAAAGAGTAATGAATACATACCTAACACCTGGAAATAGAGGGCGGAGAGTAAACAACTCAGCCATGATAGCACCCATTGCCCACATATCTGACATTTAAATAAATGAAAAAATTAAGTCATTCAGAAACCAACCATCAATAACGCATTAACTTTCCAAAAAAAAAAAAAAATCAAAACTTCGAACTTCCATAAACACTCACCGACTTTTGAGCTATACAGGTATGACTGGAGCAGGACTTCAGGTGCTCGATACCTAACATGCCCACATTCTAGAGGTTAGTAACTCAAATCAGTTTGCACTCAGGCAGAGCTAACTAATTACGAAAATAAACACTCACCACCGTGTTGACACGTATTCCGTATATGGAGGTTGCGAATCGATTTCCCGAGCAAGACCAAAATCAGCAATTTTGATGACATCTTTGGTAACCAACAAGTTCTCTACAAAGGAGTGAAGGATAGGTAGCATTGTGTTAGAGTTCGGTAGCAAAAGAAGACACGGACCCAACAGATGACAACAATGAACGACTTAAAGACACAGAACATAATAAACAAAAGTAATACATGATTTTGCCACTGATCATTGAGAATCCAAAAGAGAAATACAAACACAACTTGAACAAAGTATAGCAACACCATGCACGAAGCAACATAGAAGGCCCCCCAAAAAAAACACAAACAAAACAAAGCATTCCACTGGTGGACAGAAATTTCTACAATACATGAATAACAAATTGTTGAAGAAAGATGTCAAAACAGAGAAACTTAAAAGAGGCAAGAAAATATAAAGCATGTACATTGATCAGCGCCCCTTCCAACGTTTCACCAATTCAAAACTTCAATTTGGTGGTCAAAACCTTTTTTTTGCTTCTAATCTAGCAAGTAGATTCTAAATTTAAAAATTATTTTCAAATATAAATGTGTACCTCCAAAACCATTGGAAACATGGCCACATCAAATCTCATTAGCAATGGTTTTATACTGGAATTATAAATAAATATCAAATAATAAAAGAAGAAAAGTAGCTAATTACGAATTGGTGTCCAAAAACAACAGCAGCAGGCATTACAACTCTTAATAAGTATAACAAAGGGGAAATTGTACACTAATAAATCAAGGATTCCACTTGATCATTGCAGCCTCAGCAAACATCAATCTGCTTTGAAATGAAAGAAAACTGACACTAAAAAAGTAACAAACCCAAACCCACAATAAGCAACTAAGATTGATTCTTCAACAAAATATTGAAGAGGTACACATGTTTCCATCTCAAAAAAAAAAAGATATACAAGAATTTTCATTAGCATAGATGCCTTAAGCCCTTCAAATTCTCTTCGAACCTTTTAATTACTCAACTAAAGTCGTGCATTAAAATTGCATCAATTACCTGGCTTAAGGTCACGATGGAAATATCCACGCTGGTGCATGTAAGCAAGGCCTTGAAAAACTTGAAAACACCAATTTCTGATGTCAGCTTCAGGGAAAAGCTTTTCCTTATCTTTTATAAGTTGGTACAAGTTGTACTCCTGCAATGTCCATATGAGATTATAGAGAATAAGCAACAACGCTCGCCAACAAAAGTCATTGAAAATATTTGCAAGTTTGTGTTAATATAACTTACCATGTATTCAAACACAAAGTACAAGATGTCACTTTCTCTGATGACTTCCTTGAGCTTCACAATATTCAGATGATTCATTCTACGCAATGACTGCATGAAGTAGAAGCTCATGATATAATTTCAAAATGCATGGTAAAGCAAGATATCTAAAGAGGATATAGTAAGTTGAACTACCTTAACCTCTCGTAGACTTACACACTCCTCCCATGAATAATATCTTTTCTTCATTTTTTTAATTGCAACCTGTAAAATTGTTTCATTGATTATAATCAGAACAAAATTTAAAACTGTAAATCATAAACTGAATTCTTAAGAAAATGAAAAACAAACTTACAACTTCACCAGTCTGCTTATTAATAGCACGCCAGACACTCCCAAATGTGCCATCTCCAACTTCCTTTATTAACTTGTACCTAGAGTAACCACAAATTTACATATTTGTATCAACATAAACAAATAAACATTAAAGGAAGTCGCACAGTAAACAACCTTACCTCTCCATTCTTCCTGTGGAACACAAAGCAGCTCTTTCTTTATTCAGTGAAAGCATAAAGACTCGTAAAAGATAAATGGGAATTTATCTTCAGAAGATGATCCTTAAAATACACTGTAGGATATAAACAACTGCCTTGCTCGTCCAGCAGAATCAAACCATTAATTTTGTGAGGCAACACGCACAAGCACAAAACCAGAATTCTTATGATGGATGGGCTGCACAGCCTTATTCATTACTAACTCCACAGCTTGCGGACTAGAGCATGACATAGATGGCAAAAAAGGGCAAGCATCACAGGACATATCGACACCAATTGAAAAACCAACCAGAATGATTTATCCCGCAGAAGAAAGACTCCAAGCTCAAGATAGTGTCACCCAAGGCTCAATAAACAAAAACTTCTATCTCATCTAAACTAAGTAGAAATCAGTGTGGAATCTTTAGTTAACCAATATCTTGCCACTTTTCATAGAAACCATCAGGAGCAACGTTGAAATAATAACTATGAAATAAACAGTCTGCACTGGTTTGGGTTGACGTAACTGATTATCTAATATTAACTATGTAGAGATCTTCAGTCACAGATTGCTAGACTTTAGCCCTGTCATAAGAAACAGAGAACAAAGTTTAGGCATATGAAGCAGGCATTGGATAATAAGTAGATGCATAACAGTTTATGTGAGATGTATACTGTACCCCTGAAGAAGTTTTCACGGAAATTTCAACTCGATGTTGTATCAGCAATGCGCTATGCACTAAAGATCCAACACCTGACTCAGAAGTAACTAGCATCACGTCTCCCGTATTGATCATTTAAGAGAAACTGACCACTAAGTGCAATTAACAAAGGAAACCAGAAGAAAATCTCCAAGGACAAGAAATCTCCAGTCAAGCACTTCCTGGAAAGAAAAGACCCGGTACTGGTGGCAATTTGACCAGAAGCGCATCTGCTCCATGTCTTCAGAAATATATCAAAGCTCTTTAGATCCAAGCCCGGCACAACCTGAAATTTAGATTACAACAAGTAACCGCACATCAGATGAATCACGCAGACATGATACAAGGAATCCATTACTGAATATAATGACCACTCAAACTGAATCTCACATAATTTGGGCACATAATGATGCAAATTCCAGCATTAAAAACCAGAAGCAGGCGTATTATAAATATGAACTACGCTATAACCTCTCTTAAATATCAATAGGCAAAAATTATACAACATTACCAATTTATATAATAAAGACTTAAAAGAGATTACAATCAATCGCTGATATAAAAACAATTAAACAAACAAAAAGCCTCCAATAACCAAATCAATGACCAAATTAAACCCAGAAAATTACATTATCCAGAGAAGCAATTCCAGATCAGAAATTTTTTACCAAACCATAGTAACCCAGACGAAGAAAATCTAATAAGAAAGAGCCCCAAATTGTCAAATCCTGAAGCCTTTCCCACAGTTTCTCGGCAACCAAACAAAATTTCAACCGAAATCGAAGAAACACATCAAGACGAATACGTGAAGAAGAACTAACCCTAATTCTAAAAAAATCCCAAATAACAAATTGAATAAAATCGATATACAAAACAAAGAGAATAAAATAAATTCAGCCAAAACAAATTGAATAAAATCGAATTACAGAAAAACAAAACAAAACTTGAACAAATAATGAAAAGGCGTGGGGAATCAGATCCAAAGAAAAGGAAACGAACCTGAAAGCCAAGCGGCATAACCACCGTCGCCAAGGACGGGAAGAGGTGGAATCCAGAGTTTCTGTTATGTAAAACCGACTTTGCCTAAAACCCACCGAATTCTGATCTGTGCGATGAGAGAAAACCAAGCCTTCGTGCCAACCAAGGAATTTACCTAATTTCCGCTTACGTATCCGATATTTATAGCTCCACTCCACGGCATAAATAGGGAAAAGGGTATTCTTGTAATGTTACATAAGGCCCCAGATCTTTATGGATCGTGGCTGGCTGCCTTTTTATTTTATTTTATTTTTATCTACAATTTTTTTCTTTTCTTTTCTTTGGGTCTGCCGGATCAAATGAAAAATAAAAAATGTGACTTGCTATTTTGTTGGAAATTTCCTTTCTTTTTTGGTGAAAACCAAGGTATCCCCCGCGCGATTGCGGGGAATTGGAAATTTCCTTTCGTTAATTTAAGTTTTTTACTTTTTCTTTTGCCCATTTAATGTAGGAAATAAAGGGTCTGATTGCTATATTTTAAACAAAGAAATATAGAAATAAACATGCAATTAAATATACAAATTTAATATATATATATATATATATATATATATAACATGAACAACACCAATGCTGAATATACATATAAATTAGATTAGAAACACCTGAAAAATTGTTTGAGGCGAACGCTTGGCATTCTATCTTTAAGATAATTTACGTCCCACTTCAGTGCACATGGGTTGAACGACGCTTGTCTCCCAAGATGCAACGACCTCATTCTTATGATTGTAACACTACAAATCATAAGAACCTAACTAACCACAATTATATTGAACATTCTCTCATACTAAGAACTCCCTACTCAGGGTCGGCCTT